TCTAATATAATAATAAAAAAAGGTTTGAATACTTTTATGGAGGACATGGACAATTTAAAGTGAAATTCTGGGTATTTTGTCAAAATACTGGGAAAAAAATAATAAGAAAAAAAAGCTTCTTGTCAACAGAAGACAACAGCCAGGCGTGGGTCCCAAAAGAAACGCAAGACAAACTCGCGAAATTACAGAAAATCAGGCACTCTCCCTCTGCCAGTCGACCGACCGCGCGTCCCCCTTCATAATTCATACTAAAATACAACATTCTCCACGGCCGATGCTATCCAATTCAGGAGAGCAATGGACCAACAAACCGCGCGACACAGTCGAAAATCGAAACTTTTTCCCCTATTTCTCTCCCAACTTTTCCCAGTACTTCTTCTCCAAGAAAACAATAATCATAATCGAACGATTCCTTTCGAAGATTCTGCAAATTCGAACGGATCCCAGTTATAATCGAGCGATAAAGAGCTCCTTCTCTCCTATAAATGTATTGCGTAATCAATTTGTTTCACTTCGGCTAAAACAGAGTGACACACTGACACTAACAAAAGCATCGATCCATAATGGCTATATTCAGCAAGTGTCTTAGCAAGACAGATATTCGGAAGAGACTTTCCGTTCCGAGCAAGTCTCTCAAGTATTTCCCACTTTCCGGTAAACATCATGCTGTTGACTTGGAGGTGAAGGACGAGAGCGGTCGGGTCTGGACATTCCGGTGTTGTACCCGCAAGAATGGGCACCAGAAACCAGTTCTTACCAAGGGATGGCGGCAATTTGTTTGCACCAAAAAGCTTGAAATTGGGGATAGAGTTAAGTTTTGCAAGGATGAAAAGGGTCCTGGCAGGTACTGTGTTAAAGTGGAAAAAGCTGTTAAAGTATTTGGTGTTGCTCTTGGACATGTGCCCAATTTGTCCCTCCGTTTAGAACAATAGATTTTCTTAGTATTAATGTTGCATGGTTTTCTTGTAAAAAATTCATATAATTAATTGGTAGTGTTTGGTACATATATAAATTGGTAGTTTAATCATTGTGATATATAAGTAGACATTAATCCCTTCTTAAGTTTGTTCAAGGAAAAAACCAAAAAAAAATAAAAAAATTGCACAATGAATTAAACAATATCGCACAAGATGATGCAAATCCTAACATCAATTGATTTCAATGGTATTGAACAAATTTACATAAATTTTTTATGCATAAAAAACATTGATTTTGTAGAAAAATTGTGAAATTGTAATTACCAAAAGAATCAGTTTACAAACAAGAGCAGCTTCTAATAGAATATTGCTGCCATTAATCAGTCTAAAGTACGGCAAGTGTTGTGTGTAGGGGTTTCTTTCTTCCTCAACTTCTTATCATACTATTGAACCAAAACCCTTCAAGAACTGAAGAATACTTGCCTATCTAAGAGTTCTTTTAATATAATTGATTAACATCATCGGTATCTCAATCATTCAATTGTAAAATTACCAAGTAGTTGTGACTTACTTGACAATAGAATTTGTTTTCTACTTTTTTTTTTTTTTCAATGAGAATTCAATTCTTTAAAAAGATTAATAAAAAGATAATATCTAAAAATTTCTCTAGTTTTGAAGTAGATGGCCTTGTCCTCCATCAAATTGGGGAAAGATTAGTTTTGGCGTGTACATGAGTTGGCCTGAGAACATATCAACTACGAAACAAAAAAAAATTGTAAAATTAACTGTTAATATGTCGTTTCATGTATTTTAGTTTAGATTGCATATTAAAAATATAATCACAACATTGAAATTACTAAATTACTATTAATAAATTAAAAAACAAAAAACTCATTAAATGTATTTTAGTCTTTTTAATATTTAAATTGTACTTTTAATGATAATCTAATTTACAAAACACTTTTCAAAATAATTGATGAGTTTTATGTTTTTCAAACTAAACTATACATTATAATTTATGAATTTTATGTTTTTTAATATTAAAAATATAATTTAAATATTTAAATTATTAAATTAAATATATATTTTAATAAATTTAATACATAAACTTTAATGTAAACCGTACAATGCGACTTGGAACACACTTTTTGTTAATTTATATAAGATAAACATTAAGTTGATCTGACCCAAAATAATTTTCGTTTTTCCCAAAGCAACCTCTCAGTTTTTTAAGTTCAAGTTGAAACTTAGGACATCCCTGAAAAGTTAGGAACTGCAGAGTGCAACCGCAAACAACATCCCTTCATTAAAGTTTAGAGATGAGAGTGATTACATAATTTACATTCCTCCCAAAGATTGGGGAGCACATTTTGCCCAATTATACATTTCACTACGGAGCCCATGCCATGCGAGTCCAGGTAACACCAATATTAATTTTTTCATATATGGAAGCGGCTCCATCCTTATCCCTGAAAAGAACAACTAAATGGCAAAATGGATTTAAGGGGTACGGCTGACAATTCGTCAACGGTCTTTCCCCCCGCCGCTGAAGCCTCTCGCGGTTCGTCTTATTTTCTGCCGCAGTCGACGGGCCGGCTTGTTTCAGTGCCTCGCGGCTGGTGGTGTTATTAAGGCAGCTGTGAAGATCTCTCTCCTCATGACTCGCGTTTTCTATCCACAGCCTCAGTGCTGCCCTACCGTTTAGTTTGATTATTGAATTTCTGTGCTCCTTCCAGAGATAATTGTCCGGACAGACAAATTTCTTCAAAGCGATTGCTGCTTCCTCCGCCACATCATGGCACTTACTGAAAAGCTGCGCCAAAAGGGAATCAATCACTTGAGTCTCTTTTGCCGGAAAAATCCTCGCCAGGTAACCGATCGATTTGATTGCCGGAATCTGAAATTTAGGGCTACTCGATTCTTTGATCACCCTCAAGAGCTGATCCACTACGGCTCTTACACCTGGAGAATTAATCTTAAACACCGAGTGTCTGAAATTGGGGTCAGTTTGAGCGGTGTCCGCAATCTCCATTACGGTCATCAAGCAATTGAACTGCAATTCATCCCGTTCCTTCTCCATCAACTTCGCTAAGTACATGAATCCGTTCCTCTCTGTTATCTTTTTGCAAATTGAAACATTTTTATGAGAAAGCATCCATAGAGCCTTCGAACAATTAGTCTTTAGCTCTTTTCTGACCTCCGGTTTCTCCTTCTCCCACTCTTCCTTCTGCATTTTCGCCCGATTGCATCCCTCGAAGTACCAATTTAAGCACAAGTTCGAGTACCGACTATGGATCTCCGAATTGGGTGCGATGGAATTGTGTTTGTGGATTTCCTTTTTCATCTCAAGAACAGAGTGAATGCTCTGTTTCTGCACGCGCCCGTTTGTGACGAGTTCATCGGAAACTATGTCCAAAGAAAGCAATTTCAAGAGTGGTAAAATCACCTGCTCATTGTGGAAAGCCTCCTGGACCTTGGGATCCTTCTCCGCCATTCTCGCCATCAGATTCACCACTGGCGTCTGAACCCTCAGGGGGGAAGCCCTGAATAGTTGAGCAATTAGTGGAACTCCTTTTTGTTCCACAATAGTCTTCACTCTCTCTTCATTATCTGCTAACACATAGAGCGAATTAACCGCCGCGATTTGCGCGTCAGGCGAGGAGTTCTTCAGAAGCTTTAGCAGAGGAGGGATTCCCCCTTCTTCGATGATGATTCTCTTGTTTCTTTCATTCCCTTCGGCCAGAAAAGTGAGATTGTTGGCAGCGTCGATGCAATCCATTAATTTACCCATTTTGACGGTGGCGATGAAGGACCAGACCCATGAGATAACCGGGTCATTTATTGCGAGTGGAGGCACAGACATAAACCCTCCTCCGGCGACGCAGCCAGGGTCGAGGTCGATGAGGCTCAGCAACCACTTCAGGTCGGCGATTGATGATTGTAGAAGAGTAAAGATCCTGCCAAAATCAGTTCTACAGTTGACGCCGACGAACCGGGGAAATAGAGTCCGGCGCTTGCACTTTCCGACCAGGGTCAGGGCACGCTCGAGGCTCTTGGAGACTTCAGCGACGATGCGGACAATCGGCCGGTCGTACAGGGCCTGTGCAGGGGCAGAGGAGATGCGCTTGACCAAATATTGAAGCCACTGCCTCAACCAACGCACTAACCTTGCAACCGAGTGGCAATCCACCTTGAACGAGTTGGCCTCTGCAACCGCTAACTCAACTCGTTTCGCCGTCAAAATCAGTTCCTCCAACTCATCCTTTAGCTTTTCCTCCATAATCAAACCATCAGGTAATTTCTCAAGATTTGAAGCAGTCACTGTTTTTCCTGAAATTCATTACTGCTCTCTAAATAGAGAAGTTGGAAATCCTTGCTGTCTAATCCACAAGCAGAGGACTTTTAGGCAGAATCGAGCGTTCTCGTTCGTTATTTCTTGCAAAAACCCTCATATCGTACGAGTCACGTTCGAAAGAAAAAATATTCCTTTGGGACAAAACTTGTCTGGTCTTTTTCTTTATTTTATTTTATTTTACTTTTGTCTTAATTAAAATTCGAGAAAATAAAAAATAAAAAACCGTACCAATTAAAATATAAAATAATGATTAGAAATCATTTTTTATATTTTTTTATTATTTGTATATATTATTAAATGAATAAATTTAGTTAATATTATATATTGTAAATAAATAAAAAATTAATTATCTAAATAATAATAAAGTTATATCAAAAGTTAATAAAAGAATTATTTTTGAATTATTTTTGAAAAATATTATTACTAAAAATACTTTAATATCATTATAAATCTACAAACAACAAAAATTTATTAAAAATATTTAAATAATTTTATTGATAATTTTAATTTTAATATTTAAAATGTTAAGGCGTGTCTTGACACTTACATTTAAGGCACGGTTGTGTTGGAGGGTAAAGTTTTTCTCGTCTTAATTAAAGTTTTTTTTTTTTTTGTCTAAATTGTTTAGTACAAAAACTGAATTATCAATGTTAATTCTTTGCTTGTCATTTTCAGAACTTCAGTTGGGAAAACTCATTTTCTTCCTTGGGTCCACTGCCCTATCGCAAAAGCAAAAAAGAAAACAGGGCAAAAACCGCGCGACTGAAGTGATTCTGTACGATTAAGGAGACGATATATAAAAACTCGCGCGGTTGAGCAGGGGGATTGGGACGGCTTCTCATCCCTTGGTGGAATTCTCCATGTTCCCATTGGAGAATTTGGCTAAAGTGGTGTCATACTAAAATACTCCATTAGCTTTATACACATCTTTCCATTAAATACAGTATCAGAGGAAAGGACTTGCGTATCACGAAATTAGTTAGTCCTCTTCCTTTATGTATTAAGCTGATCAGTAAGAAAGTATCAGACTTTACATCTTCTAGAAACCGCGCGCAAAGAGGGTAGTATAGTGAAGTGGGGTGATACCGCGCGAATGAGCAGCAGGTTGGATGCTACTACTTACATTTCATCTATAAATAAGCGAGTTTATTTCTGGGGCTAACAGGGAACTTGTTCTGCTTTCATCAATGGCGATGCTTATGTTCTCTAAGTGTCTTGGAAAGACGGATATTGGGAAGAGGCTGTCCTTTCCAATCAAGGCTCTGAAATGTCTTCCAGGTTACCAGGAGGGCCAGCACATGGTGGAATTTCAGGTAAGGGATGAGGAAGATCGTGTCTGGACCTTCTACTGTTCTACTCGGAAGCAGAAGCACCCGAAACCAGTTCTTAGCAAGGGATGGAGGAGGTTTGTTTGCTTGAGAAATCTCAAAATTGGTGATAAAGTTGAGTTCTACAAGGAAGAAGAGAAGGCTGGTGGTGTTGGGTACTATGTGAGGGTGAAGAGGCCAGTAATAGTATTTGGGGCTATGATGGGTCTTGTCCCCATCTCTTGCACTGCTTAGGCCAATACATATAGTTTTGATGTAGAATTTATTGTAATGTTTAGTTGTTAAGTTCTATGCAATTTTAAGCTTTTGTATTTAGAGCAATTTTAAGCTTTTGTATTTAGAGCATCTCTAACCTCAATTACTGGAGAATTACTTGCTATTCTTTATGGTAGGCCTAAATGGAATGAGTAAACAGACGACAAAAACAGGGAGTACGTAAAAACTAATTCAAAGGCAGTGAGAAAACAAGCAACTTGGATTAATTTTGAATGTCACGAGTAACATTTGACAAGCAACAAGTGTATATTCATAAAGCTCATCAACAATTTAACAATATGCATCGTAAATTGATAGTGTTACAAAAAGTATCCAGTAGAGGCAAAAAAGAAGATAAAAAGCATTGTAGATCTGAAATCATCACAACAGCTACAAGGGAGGAAAAGGCTTAACCAATAGACAGCTTTCTGGGACTACTCCACTTCAATGAAGCCTTCGGCATTGAGACTGTAAATTAACCTCTCATCAACAAACTGGAAACGACTGAAGGGCCAAGTTTTGAAAGAAGTTCACGCCATCTTGGAGTCTCTTCATCAAAAATGTAGGTCAAAGGTGAAATTAGGACCCCACTTCCTCCAATCTGCATCAAACAACAATTCAAGTTCAATGACCAGGATGTCAGTAAATTGCATTTCTTTTCTTTCTCTTCTTTTTGGCAAGGTAAGCGATCAGAAAAAGTTTTTAGGATCTATTTGGCAGAAAGGATAGTTACTCTTTTTATCCAATGTCAATCAAACTTCTTCATTAACTCTGCTTAAGGCATGGCATACCAGTTTCTACATGTAGGTAACTATGATAATGTTATAGTTTGTCATGACTTACAGCTCTCAACTGCTGTACAGACTTGTAGAGAGCCTTCTTGGGCACACAAATTACTACGGCATAGTAATCAGCTGAGACCTTCCCATCACGCTTACAAAAAACTGGACTTACAGTGGGTCCCTGCACGTACAATCAGGAAACAAACTCAAAATTATATTGAACAAACAAAAGATTACAAGAACATTAATTAAGAAAAACTTCAATTTGATTAGTAGTATCTTGGTCCAAAAAGCAATTAGTTAGGGTAGCACTGCAGCATCTTTTAAAGCCTAACCTGCAAGCCAGGTAGTGAAGGCTGGCTCAGTACTTGCTTAGCTACTTCCTCTGCACTACTACCCCTCATATTTGCAGTAACCTAGCATGAAAAACAAATGAGAATTAAGAGAGATAAAAGGAAAAGGAAAATTTATTATTTATTTATTTATTTATTTTTTTAAAGAGTTGAAAGAGAAGCTCTGTACCTTGAACTGGCCAACTGCCCTCAAATGAGCCTCCAATCTTTCAAGAATCTCATGGGTAGTCTCTAATGCAACCTTCCGCTGGCTCAAGAATTTCCTGCTAGCCACGAGAACAGCCTGAGGGACAATCAATCCTTGAGCTCAGACAGCAGAGCTGGCTGCAAAAAAATATTTTTCTAACAGAACCTTTGAGCTAGAAAATAACTTCCTCGGCTTACCTGGCTTTCCAACACAACTCCACCTTCAATTTCTTTCAAGTTGTTTTCACGTAGTGTTGTCCCACTACTCACAAGATCCAAAATTGCATCAGCTATCCCCATCTTAATTGACAAAACAGACAAGGAGGCAATGATATTCATCATAAGAGTTTTTCAGGATCGTATGACAAGACAAAAGCAAAGGAGAGAACAATTCTTTGTACCAAAAAAAAGGAAAGAACAATTCTCTTTAATATAATTGCAGAAGAGTATGAAATAAGAACTTATTACATAGAGACATAATTCTCACCGCGGGGGCGGCCTCTAAGGCTCCATCAGCAGTTGAAAAGGTCACATGTTTCAATCCATTCTCTCTCACAAATTTAGGGCCAAGCTGTAACAAAAAAAAAAAAAAAAACATAATAGATATTTAATTCAAATGCAACCATTTTTCCATAAGCATGAACAAATTGACATCACTTGAATATGCAAAACACATCATACACAAGTAAAGCTAGTAGCAACTCTCAGAGGTTTCTCAACAGTCCACTGAGGCATTTCTGCTAGGTCCTTAAGCGAATTGATATTCTCAAAGATCCCATATTTGGGAATCTGAAACAAAGAAAAGACATATCATGACCACAAGAACATCAGCTTTCAGCAATGAGATGGGCAGCTGGCTTTAGGTATAGAACAACAACTACTTACTGCAAGGGACAAACGACAATCTCCATACTCCAGAGAATCATGAACAATGATAAGATCTTCATTCCCCTGATAAAAGTAATTGTATAAAAAACAAGTTCCAGAATAACTTGGGAAAATGTTCCTGAATAACAGGATCAATTATTCTGGATTACAATTGCAGGTTTCTTAAGTACTTTCAGCAGTACTTATACTTGCATGGGCTTGCTTAAAAACTGAAAGCAAGTTATGAAGAGGTTAAAACTACCTGAAACTACAATGTATCAATTAAACATTAAACCACACAAGCACCTTTATGGACAAAACATAAGACCAGTTCAATTGAATGTCATTGGGGAGAATGATTGCACGGGGTATATAATATAAACAGTCCTATACATTAAAGATAACCCACAAGAAGTATAGGCAACTAATATTGGCTCAATATTCAACCTATCTTCAATCAAACCAATTGATTAGCAAAAAGTCTCGAAGCAAAGTTCAAAATCATGGTCTAATTGCATTGTGTACCTTAAGAAAGAAAGAAAGAAAATTTACCTGTCCATATTCACTAACTGTATCAAGACCCACGATACCAAGATCTAAGTCTCCAGACAACAATTTCCGCACAATATCTTTGGGCCGTTGAAACCAGACTTCAATATTAGTAAGCTGAAAAAAGAAATCAAATTTAAACGCTGAGCAAGCACAACAGACAGACACTGGAATGCTAAGTACAATGCATGACATGGGGGAGAAAGAAAGCACAAACCTGAGCTATTTGTGCAACATACTGGCGAGGATTCACCTGTTTAACAGATAATTGACAGTCCTTTGCAAAAAATAAACAACCAAACAGTCAAGGTTAGAAATTGATAACAAATAGAATAACACCTAATATCGGCACAAGTGCACAAATTTGTACCTTATTCAAGCTATAAGTACTTTTTGCACGGAAAATCAACTTAAACCAAATTCTATATCTCTCAGTACTTCAAACAATCATAAAAGCGAAATTCAATAGCCAATTCCCACCATTTTCCCGAGAACCAAAGAGGGGCTTGAGCCAATACCTTAAGTAAATCGAGAGTGTCTTCAGCCATGCGACCTTTGCTGGGCAAACCGAGACGAATCTCATTCCTCTCTACAACCCTGCCATCGACATTACCATTGACGACCGCCGTTTCTGACTGCGACGAGCAGCAACAAATTACCGCGGGTTTCGAAACCAAGACGCGAAATTGAGGACGGGAAATTGCGAGGGATGGAGTAAACGCCGACGAGCACTGCTGGAAAATCGGTTGCAGAAGCACCATTGATGTAGTCGTAAAACCCTAATTATTGAACATCCTCAATAAAATGAGCCTTCGATTTGAGAGGGGGAAGGAAGAGAGAATCAGAAGTGTAAACCGAAGAAGGAAAAAGCGCCGCCGCAGAAATCAGGGTATATGATTGTCGGGCCCAAGGATTTGTGTTTCGCTGAGGTTGGATTCTCTGCGGTCAACGATATTCTAGCTAGAATATCTGTGTGTTCGTAAAAGTGACACGTAGCGAGGGTCTGGTTTCGGCCAATGATGAATGGGCTCCAA